TATAATTCTATTTTGGTCATGTACTCCCCTGACCATTCCAACATGCTCCAAAATCAGTTCGATCTCTGATCTGTCATTCAGAGGGTCTCCCTATCCATTTCCCCTTAGCGTCTGTTGGGGGAAACTATGGTTGCAAATCACCAGGTGAGGGCTAAAGATCATTCAGAATTATTGGCGTCTCTTATGTTCTTATGATCAGTTCCCCTGGAGAAAATGGTGGACTCTGTGTCCTTATATCCTGCTGAGATGGCCCCTGTATGACAGCCAATGTGACGTAGCAGTCAGGGCTTCAGCTATTAAAACTGATGTCCAGATGACCCAGATCAGCTCTCTTGGAGACAATGGCTGCTTTGGGCAGTAGATTCTATGGCATTATACCCTGCTGAGGTCCCTCCCCACCCAAAATCCTGCCCTCCCCAGGCTCTACCCCTCAAATCTACAGGTATTTCCCAACCCAGAGTTGGCAACCATGTAATCAGCTATGGAACTACTTTCCAGACCCTTGGAATCCAGAAAACATGGCACAGGAGGAGGTGCTTTTCTACCTTAGCATAACACCCCCCTCCCCCTCAAAAAATAAGTCAGAGGTGGAGAGAACCATATATGTTACCATGAGGCTGTCCTCCCATTCTACCCACTTGGGGCAGCAAAATGACTTGAGACAGCCCTGCCTTATAGCTAAGCAGAAGGAAAGAAACATGGTTTGCCTCCCTCCATTTTCCGCTTCCCTCTGCCGCCCCACCAGCCACAGTCGGGATACTCATCTGGAGCTTCCTTCTAGATCTCGTTGTATTTCTTCCCACAATGGGCATTACTCCTAGTTAAGTATATAAACTAAATACTATGGGTATTTAGATTGAACCAAGCAGCCTGAACATATGTCCATGCTAGGCAATACAGCCTTTCTTCTGGAGAGTTCTGGGCCCTTAAGGTTGCAGTCCTAAGAATATTTGTTGGGAGTAAGCCTCAGTGAATAAAATTCAACTTACTTCTGTGTACACATGCTCAGGCTTGTTACCTCAGTCTTGTATACACAGGAAAGGCCAAACAGAAATTCCTTAAGTCAGGGTTCCTCAACTTTTTTGAGCCAGTGGGGACCTTTGCAATTCTGACATACTGTGGTGGGCAGAGCCACAAAGTGGCTGCCACAGAATAGCTGCTGCAGGAGGTGGAGCCCACCATAAAATGGTTGTCGCAGCTTAATTTCAGTCACACAGTGAACATCCTTGTGCTGTGGTGGCAGCTGCTGCTAAGAAATGTTTTGTTGTTGTTTTTAAATCTGCACAGCCAAACAGAGAAGCCTTGTTGGGCAAAAATCCCACGTGGCCCCACCCACTTTCTAAAAACACTTTTGGTGTGCCACCAGTAAGGTTGTCAGCAGCAGCCACCATGACGTGCACAGACACCATGTTGGGGACCCCTGCCTTAAGCAAATATAAATTCTGTGCAACTACTTGGTATGCATGTTGTTCAATAAATAGGGAAAAAAAGAACTTGATTCAAATAAATAATTTAGCTAGGCCCTTATTCCTGATCATTTAAGTTTTGAATTAAGTCATTTTAATTTAAATCTACTCCCCGATTAAAATCTGATTTTATATTCTATATTATGTGAGGACTTCACTGGGCTTGTCCTTACCTAGCCAGTTCTCTCAGTTTGCAAATTTGGAAAAGCTGTGTGTTCTGTAAACTGTATCTTACAGTCTGCCAACCACAACCCCCTCTGGGAAGGGGTCTTGCCTACTTTCCTGAAACATAGGTCAGGTACCGTGTTGGGTAACAGTGCTCAGAAGGTCCACAGGTGGCATGTCAAAGAACCACATGTCGCTCCTGAGCCACTGAGTATAACTGTACTAGACATTCTTTGAATTGTTATTGGACCATATAAAACTTGTGCATTTAAATCAAATGTACAGATTCCCTTAACATTTGAAACTCAATAGAATTCTTCGTTTTAACTTTGAAATTTGCATTTTGATAGTGGAAAGCACATTTTGATTTAACATTTTGACGTCTTCCTGAACAGTGCAACTGAAAATTAATTTACTGATTTTTTTTTCTGTAATGAAAGTTCAGAGTGATCTGTTTAGATCTGGTAGGTAGACAGTACAGTAGAACTCTTTACCAGTTAGCAATTTTAGCTGGTACTACAAATCTATAATGAGAGGCATGGAGCAAGTCAAACGGTACTTTTGTAGTCTACCATATGGATAACAGACTATCATAGCATCAATTTCTTTGTTCCAAAGAGCTAAAGGTGTTCCATCCTGATCAAGAACTGGGGCATGTAATAACAGCATGTAAAAACAGACAGTGTTACACGGAGGGTTTTTTCCCTTGTGAACACCTACACCTGAAGAAAACATTAGTACAAAGACTTACATACTGTGCTGTTTATAGGTAGTTGGTATGTTTCCAGCTCTGTGGGACCTTTATTTAGTGGTAGGTTACTTTCCAGTCATGGCCAGATTCATTATCCACTGTGATCAGCAACAAACACATGAAAACAAATCAGAGAGGTGCCCTTGTGCTTTCTTCTAACAAGGTCTATTCATGAACTGTTTTGAAGTACCCTCCTGTCTCCGCTAGAGGGGGAATCCTTCCAAGCAAGATTGTAAACTCTTAAGAAAAGCAGTTTCTGCAGCACTTGCATGATGCTGTAATCTTGCTTGAGTTCCAGGCATAAATTATACTTTGTGACATTGTGGCTATGTACTCTCACAGATTCTAAAGCATTAAATTGTGTAGAAGATGCTGTGCATGTTATCAGGGAGGGCATGTGGGACAGAATTCTTCCGTATTGATAAAGGTTGAAAGTTAGTATTTTATTTGACTGTCTTTGAAATGGAAATGAAATACTGTATCACAGAACTGAGTCTAAGCACTTGACAGTGAATCTTTAATTTCTCCCAGAAAAGTAGAATTGGCATTAGCAATGCTGTTCAGTTCAATTTTTGTAATTAGAACCTCTATCTACGCTGGTAGTGTCAAACTGAGTTTATCAGCTAAATGTATGAGCATTGTGAAAGAACATGCATTTAGTTTTGCTGTTTGATGATGCTTACAATTCCTTGTATTGCTCTACTCTGGCAGGAAAAATCTAATCTTTTTATAAAAAATGAATCAGGCTTATATTGTATAAATTAAAAGTATAGATAACATTCTTAAGCTATGGAATCGAATATGGAATTGAGGTCTCCCCCCCTCCCCCGGTTAATTGATTATTAGGGCTCTTTTTACGGGCAGTATTGTCAGTATATCCTTATTTACCCCCAAAGGATGTAATGCTTTATTTAATTTAATATATAAAGCATAATAAATCCTAGTTATGCTTATAATGTGCCTTGAAAAAAAAGACTTCAGTAGCTTTGGCATGATTCAGACACAATTGTTATTTAAAAAAAAAAAGGCTGGGGATCCTTGGTCTTAAATGCACCTTCCTCCTATTCCCTTTCCTTCTTCCCCGTGCATATAGCCAGCAAATGAGTTATTTCTGTTTTTGTAGCATGCCATAGTTTACCATTACATCCAAATTGGCAAACCATGGCTTGTAATCTCCCTGCAAATCAGGATTCCATGCAGCATTCTATTCTGGATTTATTGAGTGGAAATAACTCATTAGCTGTCTGCGCATGAGGGAATGGGGGAATAAATGACCTTGAGGATTCCCCAGGCATATGCAGGTAGTGGCAAACAGAGCTTGCTGTTATGTCTGAATGCTGCCATAAATTTCACCATGTAGCCTTTTCCCAGTGTACAAGACGATAACATTTTGGGTAAGTTAATGGGTTCTCTCTTTTTTTAAGTTCAACTTGGTCTGCTTTATTTTTGAGCCCAGATGTGGCCTGCACTGTAAATAGTTATTTTTGAATCCATTAAAAATTTGTTTTGTCCTCAACAGCTTCCTTCATTCATGGCCAAAGTGTATCCATCTGTGCCACCTGTGTTGGTGTATGGCTTCTCCCCCCCCCCCCCCCCCCCCAGGATCTTGTAGAATCTGTAGTATTTGTTGTCATGCATATCCCTTTATCCAGACTTTGCACCGGCAATGTCCCCCTGCATAAGTTCTAAGTCTGCCCAATGTGGGCCAGAGGTTTTGATTGTGCTTTGGTGCACAATGACCGGCTGCAGACAGAGCTGTATTACTGGACACAGTGGTGGCCAGTCTCTCTCTCCCCCCCCTCTGAGTTCAAAAACATATGCTGTGTGAAGCAAAGATTGAAGGAGCTGAGAATACTGACTAAACCACACTCTGCACTTTGTTATGCCAACTTCTCCAGGAATGCCCCATCACTGGGTTTGTACTGAGTGTGGTTCTGGCAGGGCATTTCTTTCGGTTCAGCTTCATTAGTGTTTTTTCTAGTTTGCAGTCTCTTTGATTATTCTAGGCTGTCTAACTGATACTCATTGTACTTACATTGTATGTGCGCACATGCATATTATTATGTCTTGCTTTATATGCAACTTGACTTGATCATTTTACCTGAATATCAAGATATTTTATAAGTGGCATTGTTATGTATTATTTTACTCCTTACAGTTTTAAATACACCAAGAAGGAAACTAGTTTTGAACGCCCTCCAGAGGTTTCCTATAAAACTCCCCGTCAAGCCTGCCCTTCTGGTGTGCTTAGCCCAGGGCCTTCTCCCCATCCACAAGGTATATCTTGCCTTCTTTGGGCAGGTTATTGGATGAATAGTCTAGTTCCCATACAATACAGTATGAAAATAATAATGTTTCCTTGAGCTGCTTTCTATCATCCTGCAGGAATGAAAAAAACTTTTGTTATCTCCTCTTTTACAAAACAAGCTTATTGGCTCTTGCAGCAAGTATATTTAGTTCATAGCTATGCTGTCCATTCTGTATCTGGACTTCTTGTGTTATCAGATCACACAGTTTATTCTGTTCTTGGATATATTTTCTCCAAGGATTTTGGTGTTGTGGTCAGGAGATCTTTTAAGTGGCTACCTTTGAAATGATATTTCTCCTTATAATTTCAGGTTGAAGTCTTGGCCTCGGAGGATGCTTCATTTGGACTCAAGGTCTGTAGTTGATGAAGTTTTGTTTTCCTAGGTGCCATCAGTTTAGGATGGCTAATTTGATTTTGCATCAGTCATTTTTTAAAATCTGGGTATTTTATGGATCTTTGGTTCATGTTTGCCAGTTAAAATAACTTCTTGAGCTTAAAACTCTGGTGATGGCATTTCAGAGAGTTTGGCATTATTGCTGCATTTTCTGAGTAAAATTTTGTTCGGGGGAGTCAAGTTGAAAAAGCAGAAGGCTACCAGGAACAGAAGGATAGCAGGCTTTACTGTGGTATTTTACAGAGTGTTGATTTTGTTCTGGATTCTGCTAATGTGAATCTTACAATTTATGTACAGATAGCCATGCTAGTTTGGAGAGGGATTGATTTTTGACTAGTTTTGTAATTCTCAATCTCAATTTGCGGAATTTCGGTTGTTTTAGAGATCTTGTTGGGCCTCTAGAGGTATACTTGACTAACATTTAACATTGGCTTAATTGATTTGTGAAGCCATGGCTAATACACATTATGGTATTGTTCTCATTTCTTAAGCATAGCTAGTAACAGATGATCCTAGGCTAGGCAGATTGTGTGTAGGCTATATAGCAAGCTAGTGAGAAGAGAATGGCTAAGGGGAGGGGAATAGGAATCTCTGAACATGAGGCTAAATCATTAGTTTCCTGCAGTTGATTATCCATATGGTATGATACCTCTGAAAGGCATAGCAGTGGCATAATCACCAAAGGGGGAACAATCAGTAGGAAAAGAATTTCTCAAAATATAAAAGGGAGAACTGTGCTAAGAATTAACTCGGGGGGGGGGAACAACATCCAAATTTACACTTTAAAAGTTACTAAATATTTATGACAGCATGATTTACTGTTGTTCCCTTATTATGTTGTGATACCTGATAAACTGATTTAAAATAAATTATTAAAAATAAATAGAGCTCCAAGTGTTATTTGAAGAATTTAACATATGGTATTCTTCAGCATTTTTCATTTTTTATTTAATACACAGCATGCATACAGAACATTTACTAAATATTTAATAAACCTGGAGGGTCAGCTCTCACGAACTCATCTCCATAATCCTTCATGCTAGCTGAGTAAACAGAAGTATTACCGAAGATTATTGTAGCCAATAGCTCTCACTGCCTGACCCATTCTGGTAAAATCTATGCTATTTATTTTATGGCAATGTTGCAGTTTGACAACAATATTATTCCTGATTTAGACAGGACACAGATTGGTAGACACTCATATAAATGTTCTATTTGTGCCACGTCACATTTAAATACTCATAGAACATGTTTTGGGCCATGAACATTTAGCATTCTATCAATTAGCAGGGCATGATGCTGGCATGTGCCTGTGGTTTAATTATATTTACGTATGACAGGCATCCATAGACTGCTTACATGGGTTTATCCAGGACCTGTCTCATGTACAAAGTGTGTTTTAATATCAACCTTTTGTGTATTGCAATCTTGTAGATTGCAATCTGACGTTTCTTTAACTCTGCCAACTATTTTTAGTAGCTTCTTTTTCTGAGGTTTTGACTTCACTATTTTGAATCCTATATATGGTCACTGAGTATCTGGTTGTTTAAATGAAATTTTACAACAGAACCCTTAGGCCTTTTTTTGTGCTGTATGCAATTCTGGTGATTTAAGTCTGTGTTTCTCAGTCTTCATGAAATTGACATCCCCCCACCCACCCACCCACCCCAACATACAACTTTCTAAGTGTTGTGATCTATAAACTGCTGCACTGCTACTTTCCCTCCTCAGAATAAGCTCATTGTGCTGGGCTTATCGGGTTTTAATTGTTGGTACTGGTACTGAGAGAAAGAGATGAGTGTAAATGTACCACAGCAGTTTCTGAGTTACTGTCAACATAGAGCAGAAGTCCATAAGTGGCAATTAGCCATATAGTACAGATGGAATACTCTATCTGTGGCAGTGATACTCTGTATTCTTGGTGCCTGGGGGCAACAGTGGGATGGCTTCTGGAGTTCTGGCCCCACTGGTGGACCTCCTGATGGCACCTGGGTTTTGGCCATTGAGTGACACAGAGCGTTGGACTGGATGGGCCATTGGCTTGATCGAACATGGCTTCTCTTATGTTCTTAACATTATTCTCTCCCCTTCCCACATTTCAGAGCCATTACTGGACCCAGCTCCTATGCCAATTGCACTTTTTCTTTCTCTCCAAGGTGCACATCAATTATGCCCACCCCCCACTCCGTCACCTTTTTTTACATTCAGTGTCCCAGTTACTGTACCTGAATTACTGGTGACAACTTGTTCCATTGTATTAAAAGACCTGTGAATGCAAGCTTCCTTCAGTACACCTATTTGCAACTCAGACTTTGGGAAGCCTTGCTTTGACTGATCATAGGTCTATTATTGGTCTATTTTCAGTCAAAGCATGCAAAATTCCCAGCCGTGCCCTCTTTGAAAAACTCCATCATGTTAAAAAATAAAATTAGAATCAGTAAGTAATTTATTTTTGTAGGTTCAAATTATACATCACTCATTATGCTTGCTTCTTTAATCTTAACAACTACTTATTTTGTTTCCGTAAAAGTGACATCGTTTTGCCTTCTATTCCCCTAAAAGAGAAAGATAAATGTAGGCAGACTCAGGGGTCATTTCGTAGAAAAAGAGCTAGGGGAACTCATTAGCATAACTCATTAGCATATGCCACACACCCTGACATCAGGGGCCCGGCGGTGGACCTGCAAGGCCAGCGGGAGTGCGAGGAAGCCCTGCCAAGGCCCTCCCTGGCCCCAGGCAGGCAGGGGTGGGGAGAGGCGGGGAGGAAGCAACTTACTCTCCCTCTTCTCCTGCCTCCTCCTGGCTGAATGAGGGCTGGAAGCGGGGCGGCCGGAAGCAGGGGGCAGGGCTTCGTCATGTGCCCCACCACCCTGCACCTCACCCGGGGAAACTGCGTTCCCCCCCGAAATGACCTCTGGGCAGACTGATATTACTAAATGTCACATTAAGAAACCTGTGTCTACAATCATGATGAATGGGTATAAATGCATGTGTGGGATGGAAAAGCAGTTTCAGTTATGAAATTCCCAGTGTTGATTATAAAAAGCAACTGACTGTGCATTCTGCCTAAACTATTAAAAAATAGTTTACAGAAATGACCACAAGCTTGCCGGTATAGACATATTTAGATTCAAGGTTTTAATCTATGAGTTTACAAACTGATTTCCCATCTTTTAGGTATAATATCTGTTTTAAATCATCCTTGGGACAGATTTTGAGCCAGTGGAGCAATAATTGGTTCTACCCAAAATATCCCACATACCAATGGAGCAGAAGACAAAGTGCTTGTATCGATATAGTGTTTGTAGTTGGGGATGACAACTGGTCCTAAACTGTTTTATTCTGTGGCATCCATTTTGGGGATAAGGGACCCTTACATCTGCATTACATATATGAAACAATGCTCATGAGTGCCATGGAGCCCACTACATTTCAGATTGGCACATTAAATTTGATTCAGGTGTTATGGTAACTTGTGGTTTACTGCTGTATGTGTGAGCCTTTGGGTCTGGGTCATGGGCTCATGTGCTTTCCTCCACAAGCCCAGTCTGTGAGTCCCAGGCTTGTTCACATAGCTACAAAACATGTTTTGCTGCTAAGCCTTATTTTTATGTTGGTCGGTGAGGGAGCTTTTAAATATAATATTATAAATATTCATATTTTGGTGATTACCAATAATTGCATGTTAAAGTCTAAAAGCAGTATACATTTCTAAGGGAACCAGAAGTCAAAAGAGCTCCTATGTGTGTGTACACAATAACTTGAATATTTATGCATTTGAAAGTCTCTGTATTTCACTGGTGATATTCTGCATTTGACAGATTTTCAAGAAAGGGAAGCAAAACAGCTACGTTAACCTTCACATTTGTCTTTTCTTAATCGTCGTCAGTTTCTCTGTCATCATATTCTACCACACTTACATCCATTTTGTTTCATTAATGTTCATAGGACGCCAGTTTAAAAATAATAAAATAAACGTTTTGCTTCTATCTAGAAGTGAAGTTGTAGATTCGATTTTTGTTGTTGTTCAGAGCCTTCACTGACATAACTGGGTTTGTGCTGCTGTGGATCGTATGTGGTTGCAGTAATTCTTAGGTATATTGATGAGCCAAGAATGTAAGACAATTTTTCCTTCCCCTTGAGCTTTTAATATAAAAAGTCAAACTAATGTAAGACAATTTTTCCTTCCCCTTGAAGGGGAATTTAAAAGATGGCCCATTGAGTGTTTCATTCTAGAAAAGGCTGCTATTAGCAACATAATCTTTCTATCCAAGTACAAGCCATAAAACGTGGGCTTAAAGTGAACAATCCACGACAATCTGTATATTACACAAAGTGATGAGAGATTGTGATATGTGCTCTCAAAGAAACTGCAGAGCCATCTGATCAGTAAGCAAGAGATAATTAAGAAGAAGTTCTGAGAACTGAAATCTTATGTAAGGAGCCAACCTTCCACGCAAGTTTGCACTTGCAGGACTACAAAAACAAGGCGAGCTGTCTGCAGTACTCCCTCTGATTCTCTATGGAAAAAGACACAAAGCCATTCTGCATGCAGCTGGAGGCCACAGCAGCTGAATATATATCCTGGCTCACAGTGAACCAATCACAAGAAACTATCCTATATCAGGGTCTTTTTTTCTGTCCCATGGCATCCACACGAAAGGTAGTTCTGCTGTGGCATAGAGGCTTAGTTCTGCCACTGTGATTCAAGGAAAGCTTCCATCATAACACTTAAACATAACGGCTACGTTTTCAACATTTGAGAAAGAAAAATCCTGATGGTTACAGCACAAGAAGTGCACGTCTACACAGAACGCTTCAGTCACTTTGTCACACAGAAACTGTGAACTGGCAACACACCTTACTTTATAATTCATCTATATAAAAACACCATCCACAGTCTCAGAAACTAAACACATGTTTTTGTTAAAAAATGAAGAAGTCACGGTGCTCTCCAT